ATATATATATATATATATATATATATATATATATATATATATATATATATATATATATTCAGGTTTCCGAGTATCCAGTTATTTGTTTTGTTGTCATTATCATTTTATATATTTCTCAAGTCATTCTATGCATAAAAGTGTTAAGATACGATCAACAAGAAATATACAAAAATACTTTTAAAAAATTTAGTTTTGTATCAAGGTATACAAAAGAAGAACAAAATATCAAATAAAGTATACATTTTTTCTTCCTTGAGTTTGCCTTAACTTTTACACGCAGATTAACGAGGGGAATATATATTCACGTAAAGAAAAATATGTTATATAAACATAAAAGTATGTTACTGTATTTAAAAATTGTTTGATTTTCCGGATATCCAAGTATAAAAATATCCACAGATTATACCAGCGGAAAGAGAGCACCAATCCATTGAAGACTATGATAGTTTCATGTATCCATTCTGAGGTTAAATCCGCGGTATCGTCCTCTTTTGGCACGCGAACACGAGAGACGATATGTAGACACTCTTGCACGGTATACAGAATGTCAAATATAACAGATAGTAGTATAACAGACAGATAAGATACATCAATTGCAGATTATATCGTCGACTATATCGAACGATAGAGAGAGAGAGAGAGTGCAGCGCGATGCACTCGCGAGCGCGCAACGCCGCGGCGATAAGCGAGCTCGGGCGGTTGCGCCAAGTCCCGATCGATTCGCGGCGTTCGATTTCCGCGAGGAGACGATAAAAGCTAGACCGCGATCGGCGCGAGAGATCGCGATTCGTACCACGACTACACGATAGTAATTGACTTTGGCGTTTCTCCGCCTGTCCCCTTCCTCCTCTCTCTCACTGTCTGTGTCTGTCTGTCTCTCTCTCTCTCTCTCTCTTTCTCCGTTTCTCGCTTTCCATCGTGTCGCAGCGGAACGGAGAGATCGAGCGAGCGCGACGGCCCGAGTGAAATCCCGTGGGTCGCTCTCGTGCCGGAGAGCGCGATTGATCTGTCAACCCCGTTAGGAAAAGAGTTGATCGACATGAATGAACCATTCAAGGCCACTTAATGGAATTCCCACGATTGTCCTTAAGGCATTATGCGACCGCGCACGCCGGGCATAATAGTGCGGAACAGCTGTCGCGTACGTTCGCGGCGCACGAAACCCATCGCGAGTGCGCGCACACGTACACGCATGGTACAACGGGCGTATTGGTGTGTCTGTGTGTGCGTGTGTGTATTCGCATGGTGTACGCGACCATACGCATCATACGCACGTTACTTAGACCGTCGTCTTCTTCCGCGGATGCACCGCGTGCTCCTAGGTAAACGTGGTGACAGAGCGCGCGTATTCCGCCGATGAATGTACGTACGCGCGCGCGGGTGTCCCACATAATGGCCATTGTTTCGTGTGGCTCGCCAGAGATGCTGCGACGGCGGGCGACGCGAAAACGCACCGGCATTTTCATTCAGTAAACTTCGCCAGCCGGCTATAGCGCGAACGACTTCTGTCATCCCTTACGACGCGAAGAACCGACTACTAGCTGTAGCCAGCTGGCCCGAGAGTGCGACGATATCGTGTCTTGCGGAGGGAACCTGCATCAGGCTTTAGATAGGTGTTGTAGATCGAAGATTGCGGATTGCTGAACATTCCAATTTGTCGAAACGGTTAATCTCAATCTTAGCTTCCCTTGTGTCTCTCGTTATTGTTTATATTCAATACTTGTTTTTAGTATTGTCCCGGGTTTGTTTATATTCGCTTGTTGTTTGCTTTGTTCGCTTGTTGATCGCATTCAATACGCGATTCTTAACGGATCAAGTTGACTCAAGAGTCATGTCGGCCATGCGTTTTGTGTATGTACATCTTCATTATGAGAGAAACACACACACACACACACACACACACACACACACACACACACACACACACAGCGGAAAAGAAATTGCAAAGTATTCTTTTTGGAACATAGGAAAAGTACTTATGTTTCACAAAGGGTATTTTGAGAATTCTTCTCCACTGTTTCTTTCGCAATGAACACGCACACCAAATGGACACGGCCGACATGACCATTGTTGTTGTGTATAATCTCCTGTTGTATATTGGTTCCGTACAATCTATTCTTGCGCGAAAATATGGTAAAATTAAAAAGAATTTATTCGCAGAAAAGAACTATATATAATATTTTCTTTCCATGTTGACGCCAACCTAACTCTTTCGCTATTAAATTTGTTTTACAAAGATATAATTTTTTTACTTTCATAAATTGTTTTTTTATTAAATATATAAAAATAATAAATACAATATAGTTAAATAATAATAAATTAATTAATATAATATAGTTTTAGCAAGAAGTAAATTAATTAATATAATATAGTTTTAGCAAGAAGAAAAAATTTTATGTTTGGTACTAAAGAGATGGGGATATTCCACTGAGGTTTTTGAAAGGGCATATTTGTCCCAACGCGGTGATAAGTAAAGTGATAGTTCATGTGTTTTGAATACCAAAAAAGCTGGTTTTTCAATTGCGTTTTTTTCATGTGAGTGTGTTTATATTCAATTAAACAAGATTAATATTAATATTAATAGGGAAAACGTCTCGGAACGTATACATCTTGTTGGTAGCAAAAGGATTAAGGGTCACGGCTCTGAAATTGTTTTCAATCCCAGTTTTCAATCTCGGAACGTCGAAACGGCGATTCCACTGACAGAACTTTCGCGAATGGGCGAAGAAAAATGCACTTTCGACTCGCGGCTTGAGTACGAGACAATAACGGACACCTCGTTGCCGATGGGGAAGCTCATCGCGCGGCGTCCGCACGTCAGGTACGCGCGAAACGGCGAAAAAACCTCTGAACTCGCGGACGGGGTTCCTCGGCTTTCGCCTGGCGTCGGCCCGCGCAGCTGTACACCCACGCATATATGATAGATACGCCACTGCCTTCAGCATTGTTTCTTTAATGATTCATGTGGGGTGATTGCACCGCGAGTGGAGGAAGCGGTCTCCAACCGCGAATGCAATGAGCCCGGCGCGCCGTTTCGAAAATATTAATTCGCCGGGAGTCATCGTCGGAAGACTGATACGTCGGATTAAGCCTCAATCCCGCGCTCTTTGTCAAACTCGACGGCCGCCGATAACAGACTCGTCGTGCGCGACTAGCACGCGTGTACAAAGGATTGCACATATGCCCAGCTATTCCCTAGCAATATGTGTTCTAATTGAAAGTTACTAAAAATATATTTTTTGTAAACCAAGTCCCGTTCCTCTCTCTTTCTCTTTTTGGCCATAAAGTAGTAAATACATATACGTGTTATGTTGTTATTTGCTAGTTGCAGGATAACTTTTCCCTTTTTGTCGAGGCTTGAGCCCCGTAGAAGAGTGTTGTCGTTGTTGCCCCGCTTTTCACGCGCATTTCTACTGCTCTCTTAGACATCTTAGAATTTCGCTCGAAACGAGCAGTATTCTCACTCGAAGCGATACTGAGAGTACTCGAAAGAGTGGAAAGTTCACTCAAGCTTGGAGTGGATTCTGACTTCGTATGAGCGAATGTTTCGTTCAATTAGAGTGAATATCTTCCTCTGACGATAGAGTACATCAGATTTACTCTTCAATCAAGCGAAAAGATTCACTCGATGATTCAGAGCGGAGAATTTACTCTGTATGAATGAACATCACTTGAGAACTCGAGTGACTCTCGGTGATTACTTGTCGAATGAAATTTCACTCTAAGAAAATACTCGTAGAGTGTTTTTTTGTATTTTTGTCGTACTCGATATAGCTGTCGTAACGATGATGATGATTGTTATTATGCAACGCATATAATTCGTATATACTAAGAGAGAAAAATTCTTGATCTTATAAAAATGTTATTTTTGAGTGCTGATAATATTTTTTGTTCTAACGAGAAAATAGTAACAATGTGCGCATACTCGGGCAAAAACAATTCGGTTGGATTAATCAAATTTCTAGTGAAATATGAACAAGCCCGAAATTCCGGTTGAAGCCACTAAATTTCTAGTTAATTTAAACAGAATTCTGCTAACTTCAACCGGAATCTTCTGTTCCGTCCGTATTTTAGGATTGCTTAATCTGACCAAACATATTTTATCGTGTATAAGATTATTATCATTAACATTACAGTAGCACTCTAAGGCCCGTATTAATAGTCATTATTTGAAATTCGTTTCAAATGAGATACTTAGACTTCAATTTAGAAAAAAAGAGGTCATTCGAAAAAATTTTTCTCACACTTTGCGTAATCCAGAAAATTAATTTTCTACAG